TCCTGCTGCCCAGATTTCCACTATTATTAAGACAGGTTTATTTCTTTGATTATAAGTAGCTGCATTTCTTAAAATATAAGAGCAGTGCTGATTGTTTCTGAAGAGATGGATTTTAGCATCACAGAACTGCATGAAGCTTCAAAGAAGGTAGAATAAATCCAGGAGGACCTTCAGATGTTTATGCTTTATATTTAATGCCAATCTTGTCTTGATTGGACCTAAACACCCACAGTGTAAAATATACCTTGTTTTTTAAAATGCATGTAACTGAAAATAATGTTTTCAAAAATAGTTGTGGCTCTTATACAAAGCCACAAGGGAAGATGAAGCTGTTCCTTTCTGTACGTGAAACTGGTGTACAGTTGAGAGTTAAGGATTTGTCACTGTGGATGTTGGGTGATGATTGTTCTTTTTCTCCTGTCTTCCTGCTCTTTTGCAGAACTACCACCATGTGGTTTTCGGTACCACTGCCAAGCTGCTAGTGAGTATCAGTGGAAAAAAACCAATGCTGGGCAAAGGTGTGCAGTTTTAGACTCAGCTTATCTGATCTGTATCCAAATGTTTTGCAAGTCTAGAGTTTCTCCTTCTGGGAACTTGTCAATTTTTGAAGAGAAAGGAGTGACACAGCATCTTGTCATGGTCACCTTTTACATGTTTCTTGTACCCACAAATGACAGAGCACTTCACCCAAAATGGCTTTATCAGTGGCAGAGTTATTTGAATTCTGTCTTCCTTTTTAAATTCAGTAACTGCAGTGTGTTCCTAAAGGGATAACTTTGTATGGCTTTGCGTGCTTTCACGCCTGTTTGAGCAGAGTGTCCTCCCCTTTATAGTCCTTGTGTGTAGCTTCAGCATGAAGTGCTAATTCATAATAGGGTAAGTCAAAGATACTAGTTTGCATTTAAAAGTTGTGTCTTGCAGCTTTACATGTATCAACAACATTTATACCATTGTTGTGTCTGGCTTGGCCTGCCTTGTTTCCCTTGTGACCCTTAAAATAGTGTTTGTAGATTCCAGTTTGTTTCTATTGGGGCACTTCCTCCCCTTGTGTGCAGAGGGAACAAACTTGGCCCATGTTTCCATATGCCAGATACTTGATAATGGCCTTTTAAAAGAGGTTTGTGTGTTTGCTCACAGTCTGGACCTGCCAGTCTTCTGCTGACAGAAGCAAGGTTTTGATAGCTTAATCACAGACACTGCCTGTAGAGAGGAGGAGGTGTGTGTGTTTGTGAATATATGTATGTATACAAAAAGATGCAAAGGAAGCGAGAACTGTATCATTTAAGGAAACAGGACTTCTTATAACTTTTTTTTTCTACTCCCCCTTCCCCCCCCTTCATTAGGTGATGCCACTCATAAGATCCCTATATCTGGATTTAATCTTTCACGTACTTACGCAGTTGTCTTACGGGAACTTACTGAGTTTGTCCAGCCAACCAAAGGTGTTCGGCCTCGCTTTTACTGTAAGGTATGGTCAAAGTCAAAGATGCTCTAAATCAAAACCTCTAATTTCACTTCTGTTGGGTGACTAAGGAGATACTTCACTCTAAACCCTAATCAGTGTGCAAATGAGTGGGAAAAGACATTCTTCAAAGTTTCACTGTTCCATGCAGGAAGAAATGTTACCTAGAAGCTAACCTTTTTATGAAGCAGAGACCTAATTTTCTGCCTTATTATTTTTAGCATGCACTTCTGGCTCTGGTTTACTGATGAACTTGGTTTCTGATATTGTTTTGACTTGGGTTAAAGGCTTTTAAGACTGACTTAAATCGATTGTGCTGAATAATAGTTACACAGTCCCGCTTTTCGAAGGGATGTTTTTACATTTTTGACTCTTTTTTTTAGAATACCGTACATGTTATTTTTTGCTCAATTTTCGTTTGCAAATGAGCTGAACAAAATGTTAGGGTTCAGAGGCATTTAAGCTTTATGACAGCTATATTAGCTTTTGATTCCGTTTGAGCCCAGTGTTAATTCTTAAAAAGGCAGGAAGCTTGAAGATCTTTGGTTTCATCCATAAATATAGGGCTCGGAAGAAATATGCATGAAAAAGTATCTCAGAGCACTTAATGGAGATATCTGTAGTATAGGTTAACCTTTAACATGTCTCCAGACATTAGCCCAAGACTTCTCCTGGGGTTTGGTTGGAAAGCCTATGTGGCATTTAGTTGCTCTTCAAGATAAGTTTCA